GGGGGGGGATGAGAGAAGGAATGTATTGGTGGAAAGAGGAGGATAGAAAATGTAGAGTGTGTGGATATGAAAGGGAGACGTAGAAGCATGTGTGGGAGGAGTGTGGTAGAATGGGGAGCAGAAGGGAGTTGGCAAGAGATGGTAGAGGAGGTATTGGGAGGGGATGGGAGAGGAGAGGAATGGATTATGATTAGAATGTTAGAAAGATATAGGGATATAGGAGGAAGGAGAGAGAGAGAGGGGGGGGGAGAGAGAGAGAGAGTGCGCGCGCGCGTGTGTGTGTAAGAGAGTGTAAAAAAGGGATGTAAGAGAGAATGAACACTGTCAAATAAGAATGAAAAGATGATTAAATAACAGGAAAAATTAGATTATATAATAGTATGAATAAAGAAGAAGTGCGCTTGCGACGGAAGCGGAGGTCCGGGTGCGTGCGTGATTGACAATAGGTTAGGTGTAATTGTAAATTAGGTTTAAGTGTAGAAATAAAAATGATGTAAATGAGTTGGAATTGTATCCTTGAGGGGAACCAATAAATTAATACTACTACTACTACTAGTGTATATTGGTAATTCAAGATTGAATTATTTAAAGCTTTCAGCTTCGACCGTAATAGGCATTTTAAATTTCTAGTATTGATTCTCACATATGCGGTCTAAAATAAAGATTGTTAACATTGTTCATAATATTGTGTTTCAGGATTTTATATTTTTTTTACAAAAAATATTACAAATCATATTGCGGAATCCGGAGGCTAATTTTCGGATCTCTTTCACTCAAAATTTCACACGGACTTGAAACAATACAGTACCAGGGAATAAGTTTGAAACACAATACTATGAAGATAATTAACTTTCGAAACCTGGATGAGGTAATATTTTTCGTAATAAGTTCCTTATAGTTTTTCTTAATTTAGAGGGATTTAAATTTCAGACTAATTGTGTTGAAAGTCTGAAAGTTATCGACGCGCAATGATATCTGAAATATTTAATTGTATTATTCGAAACATCTAACTTTGACCGAAATGATGACATTCTCTATCGTATATGATGTATTCATATGTACGGTCGTTCTAAAAAAAATATATATATATATTTGCATCAATTATGAAATTTTCCAAATAAATCAATTGTATTAAAAATTATAATGTAAAAAATGATTTAAATTGTATTTAATAAACTGATAAGAAAAAATTAGAGATATCAACGATATAAAGCTAATAAGACATACAGCCTATAGTCTAATAGCCTATTAGGGTCCTATGTATGTGCTATTAGAATTCTATATAGGCGCTATTAGGCTATATAGGGCTGATAAGGGCCTTTAATAGTAAGCTTTAATAGTGCCTTATATAGTTTATTATTGGCCCATAAGGGGATCCTAAACCAACAGGAATTACCGACAATTGCAGATTGCCAATTTCTCCGAATTGCCTTTATAGATCACCAAATTCTTTTACACAATAAAAGTACGCACAAAAAAAAACAGCGACCACTAAATTTGACGAGAAGATCGGAGAAAAAATTAAAAATTCATTTTATTTCAGCTCTCACAGCTGTGTCATCTCAGGTTATAATTCATTTAGTGCAGAAATTCTATAGGTCGTACGTACCAAAGGATATCTTCCCCGGAAGCGTATGACATGCACAAACAATCTTGAGTTTGCGAAATTGTGATCGAAGGCCTAACAAAAAAAATTTTCCAAAATTAAAATCGTATTTTTTGTATAACAATTACTTTTCCCTCTTTTACAGATTTGAAAACCCTTTTTCACGATTAAAGTATACACATTAATACGTGTATGTGAAGTGGAATTTATTCCGAAAACGACACAAAATTTCAAAATTAAAATCTTAAGAAAAATTTTTTGTCGTTCTCGGTATAAATTCCACCTCACAAACACATATTACACATATATTTCAATCCTGGAAAATAATTTTCGAATCTGTAAAAGAGGAAAAAAGTAATTGTTAAACAAAAATTATGAGTAGTCGATAATACAAACGGCTTTAGGATTCTCTTAAGTGGTCATATTTCACGGAGCCGAACCTGCTAGTTTGATGACATTCTCACTATTCCGAATTCCTGCGCAGTGGTTTACCACCGAATAAGCATAACCTTGTATTTATTTCATATATGTATGTACTTAGCGATTGTAGAGGGTTTTGTTCCCTCTTTCCCCTCCTTTCCGTCCATGCGAGCTAACAACTTTTCGCACATAGCAAGAGCCATCGCATCGACGAGATACTATTAAAGACAGTTGGCGCTTATGGAAGTTCGTGTGATTGTTAAAATTTAAGTGATTAAGAGTAAGAAACTGATAGTACGGTATTAATTTCATGATTTATTAGTTTCGTAAACATGTATGTATATTTAAAACTTAATAACACGAACTGTGATTTTAATATTATCATCCGAGTTTGATTATCAATAGAGATGATAATTATAGAGAAAAAATTGTCATTTTTCAGCAATATATAAGAATGATAACATTAAAAATATGCGTACTTATTTATACAGCATTTATATAATAAAAAATCACGAATTTAATAATGTATTATCAAAATATTTACATTAATAATCACAAATTTTTATTATCAGAGATGAGGTAACTGTTCTAAATAATTACCTAAATTAATATAAAATATAAATTATCTTTTTTATAACACTATATAGATAATTATTTAATCATGTTTTGGCAATGATAAACTCACCTCTTCACCATTTGCTTGCTCTGTTGATTTTTCAGGATATACACCAGCCCTCAGGAATGACGCCTTCCAAGAGTCAACATCATCTTGTGTTTCACAACTTAACTCCAATTGTTTATAATCCTTATAAACATTTCTTCCTTCTGGATTGAATAATGCAAACAGATGACGACGCGACATGAAACCTTGTTCTAAATCACGCAATTTCAGTCCATCCAAGGGCAACATATATTTCTTCTCACGTTCCTTTGTACATAAAAATATACTAGATTTAACATTGTTTTGGGATAAGTTTTTTTTCAACATAAAATGTTACAGTTTTTATCATTTTTAACATTAACTTAAATAATTGATTAATAATTATGAGCAATATTTACTTCTTCATCCTTAAACCAGGAGATACTTTCTGATGTTAAAACAAACCAGTAATCTCTCGAGCCACCCTTCATAATACCGAGATTATGTATGCACATGTAACCTTTACGAATTACTTGATTGCCTAATGTGTGCCGTCCAGACTTAACAGCATTCTCCGAGGATTGTTGTGCACTGTAACATAAATAATAGTATATAATGATAAATAAAAATTTCATATATCCAATTGCAAGGATTGTTACCATTAAAGTTTACATTACATAGCCAGTTATAAATAAAAAAACAACAAAATCTTAGCATCCATGTTTTAAACAAACGTACTATACCGTAGAAAGAAATAAAATTAACGTTTGTTTATTATAATATAGTTTGTTACAAATTTTCAATTATGCATATAACAGGAAAGCCCCCTATTATGGGCGCCTAATATGAGGATAGCGGCATTTCTGCTAAACTAATAAATGCTATCTATTGGTTCCACCATGAATTTGTTGCTCTTGGATTGAAAACTATTTAATTGGAAAATTCATTATTAAATCATGCCTGTGGTTATTGTAAAAAAGATTTTAGAATTTGGATGTCTTCAAATTTTATTGAGATGAGCCTTTAATCTTATTTATTATTTAATAAGTAATATTATTTAATAAGTAATATTATTTGGCAATAAATTCTTCATGTAGTGATAGAGATGTAAGACCGTACTAATAGAAAAATACGTGATATGATGAATTGCTTAATTACAGAAGTTAGATTTGATGATCGTAGAACTGTAAGGAGTGGAAATCGTAATATGAGATACTCAGGGTATTTCTAATATCAGAGAGAAACCTGAGAGTGGACATTCCAGTCTTTTTCGTGTATCAAACCTCGCAAGATAATGTTCTTGTAGTTCTTTTTCATACTATTACGTGGATTAGACAAAGACGAATAGTCAATTTTGATTGTTCGTTCTTATCCACTCTCAGATTTCTTTCTGCTAATATGAAATAACCTGTGCTCCTATGTCTAAGTAAAAATCGTTGCTATAAGTTATTGTACAATAACAAAAAGGACAATCGACATGAACATCGAGTGCCTATTTCTGCGATGCTTTGTTCCAACTACCTGAAGATGAGTTCTGAGTATAATCCATCGCATGCTTATCTTTCGGAGATTGTTTTCCTTATTTTCATTTTAACATAAAAATGAATTTTCAGTGCAAAAATAAAAATAAGAGAAACAATTTCCAATGACCTTGATCTTAACAAATTTTATCTAGGACATGATCCTGAACAACATTCAAGAGGTTTTAGCCGTCGGTCGGATACCTTAGGTAATGCTAATGCCAGCGGTGCTATAACTTGCAAGCCTGATAAAAAAGTACTTAATGAAAATGAACTTAATTAGTGTTTTGGAAAGCTCTCGAGATGATATACAAGAATGTGCAATAAAAAGTAGGGGTATTCCATTTAAGAAATTGAAGGTAACCTTTACGTGACCTTCAAGCAACTATTCAAGGTCAAACTAATAACATCATCTTATGTCCATAACCAAACCATCTCAAAGCCATAGGGTTGCCACAAGAAATGAATTTTAAAATTCCCTGATTTTACCAGGTTTTCCAGATGAAAATGGAAAATTTTCCATGACTAATATAAAATATGTAAATTTTAACATTTAGACTCAAGGATTGTAGGAAAGCTATATTATTAAAAACGCAAAAAAAGTTTAGTAGCATAGTAAAATTTTGGGTGCAAATTTAAGCCAGCAAAAAATAAATTAGTTTTGAAAAAAGAATCCAGTTACGACGTAAAAGAGGGATTAAATAAAAATACTGAATAAAATATAAATTTGAATTATTTTGTTAAAATCGTTTAAAGTGCGCAAGTTTTGAACTATAAACGTTAGATATAATATTTAAAAAATTATAATAATCATTTGGAATAGGAGAAGTTTAAAGAAATTGTAAGCAAATTTTGAAATTCCAGACTTTTTTACATTTTTCCCTGACTTTTCCCGGTTTCTATGACTAATTTCAATTTCCCTGACTTTTCCCGGTTTTCCCGATTTTCCAGGTCTGTGGCAACCCTGCATACAACTTTTGTCTAAAACATTTTTTTCTAAGATCAAAAATAAAAAAGTTATTTGGGGTGGAACATTAAAATGGGACACCCTGTATAGCAGAATAAGACGTTATTTTTTCAAACTTTTTTATTAATAACTTTTTAATGAATAACGAGCAACGGCTAAAACTTGTTGAAGGTTACTCAGACAACATACATATGTCAAGATCATCAGAGGATGGTCCTCTACATAAGTACTAGTTTTTTTTATTGTAATATTGATATAGTTTCCGTTTTATTATCGATTCCTTTCGGACATCTCATATTAGGACTACAATTTTTTTACTTTACGATTTGCTCACTTTTTACAACTTTTTAAAAAACAAAAAAAAAAAAAAAAAGAATTTGAATTAAATTTTAATGTTATAAATATAACATTAAATTTTTATATTATAAACATAACATTATTTCAAAACTGATTAAATTTCCTTCAAAATGATCTCTCTATTAATTTTTAAAATTCTGCTCATAGATTTCTAGCACTTACCCAAAATGAACTCGGTATCTCATAATAAGGGCCTTTCCTTTACTATTACATAAATTAGATATTTTTCAATTAAGAATAATATACATTTAAAGATTATGCGTTTCGCGGGTTTTCTCCGTGTCTAGATCCATTCTTGGAATGCCAACGTTTCGTGAATCTTGCAGTCCACTTCAAAGGGGCGAGGAGCAGTCTGATACTGAGCTGTTCCTCCAGGCCGTTCCTTTTATAATACGCTTGTTGGAGTGGTGAGGGGGAGAGGAGAAAATGGAGGGGGGAGGTGGTGGAATTCGTCGGTCTTCAATAACCGGAAGAATGGTCTTCCATATTTTATTTAAGTTGTAGCTATTATCTCAATTTAGATTGTTAGGGTGTTTTTGTATCTCTATGTCTTCTCTATACTTTCTTGGAAAGTATGATGTAATGTTGGCTATTGTGGTCGTTTTATCAAACAGTATTTGAAGTCCTGTTTCGATGTTGTATTCTGATAATGCCGACTGCGTGGCGTGTTTTAGCCTGACATCACGTTGGTGTTCTTTTGTCCGTAGGTTGATCATTCTCCCGGTTTCTCCAATGTATATTTGCCCGTAGGAACAAGGTATTTTGTATACTCCTGCGGAGCCATATGTCAAAGAAACAACAGATTGGAGATTGGCAGGATATTAAACAAACACAATATCCGAACTATCTTCAAATCACCCAAAAAAAATAGGACAAGTCTTAAGAAATCCTAAAGATCAAAGATCTCCACTGAGCTCCGCAGGAGTATACAAAATACCTTGTTCCTACGAACAAGTATATATTGGAGAAACCGGGAGAATGGTCAACCTACGGAAAAGAACACCAACGTAATGTCAGACCAAAACACGC